AATTTTCGGGCACTTTCTGACTGTCTGTTTGACGCTTCTGTGATCCTGAGTCCAAGAGACGTAATGCCAGATCGGCGAGACTGCGATAAATGTTCGCACGAGCCCGTTGTTCACGTGAGCTGACCTGTTTGGACTTAGTTCCCGTTGCGGTCTCCGACACGATCAAGGAGGCTTTCGGTTGCGGTCCGATTTCATCTAGAATGCTTGAAGTTTGGCGGAGGGTGAAAAGAAAATAGCCCCTGATAGTTGTGTAATTATCCACGAGAAACACTCGTCACATGACCTCGTCATTTCCAAAGAAGCTGGAAGGTTAGGAATAACTATAAAATGAACGGGACAAACGAAATGCATTTTGCACAAGGTCGACCACAGACTAAAATATGCCCATAAGAAAACGAATAAATGCAACAAATGCAAAGTCCTGAACGGGTTACGCAATACAGACAGAATGATAGTTAAAAGCCGTATATATTCAAATAAAATCAAATGGTCATCTTAGTCACCCCAAATGGATGGATTAACAGCATTGCCCACAATCAAACATCACATCATCGGATGCATGGTTAAACGAAGAAGTAACTTACAAGTAAACGAAGATACATAGGTTCAGCAATATGCTAAACAATCTTGCAAGCTCAATGTATTGGTCAAAAGTGCATGCAGTAAAGAAACAAAAAATAGTTATCCCCTATCCAAAAATGATCGTTTCTTTCGTTGGTCTGCTTTTGTATTTCTTTTTCAACCTAGGATTCTATTTGCGCCGTATCGGTAAAGATTGGATATATATATGCATATATATATAGGACTGGCTCTGAAAGAGCTGTCTATCCAATGGTCACCCGGTGTTGCAAACAAGGTTATTGTTATTGTGGTCCAGGTCGTTCGCGACCTGGTTCTTAGCTAAATTGAACACTTGAGATCTGTGATGACCTGACTGTGGTTGACACGAAAGTCATCATGAGTTATGGTATGGTAAAGTTTTGTTTGGGGTGTGTGAGACAAGGCATATTTGGCACCACTTGAAGTGAACACGTGATCCAGTTCTGCTGCTGTAAGACGAAAAAGACGAAAAAGACTCATGAAGTTTCAGTTTTAGACCACAATTTCTTTCGGTTATTCCACAGCTTGCGGCAATCTAGGGTCCAGGATTCGCTCAGTTCGTACAACCATTCACCGTAAAAGCACGGACGGTACAATGAAAAATATTAAAGCTTTGCAGAACAACACTGGAAAAAACTTTTGAGTTCAACCAGAATGATTTTAATAATAAGGAAGAACAAAAGAATGGCAAAATTGCAGACAATACGTTCCCTTCACAAATTTGAAAAAGGATATTGGAAATTGGTTTGCACAGTGCATCCACCACCATGTCGCAGTATTTGTGCATCTACCGCAGTCAATTTATTCGCCCACATGAGCAGACGAAATAGATAGCAGACCAGAGATAAAAAATACACCCAATAAAGAATAGGGGGCAGGAGGGTGGAAAAGCGTTTTTTACCAAAGAACAGGTCGTGCTATCCGGACTCCTCTATTCGCAGTGGATCAAAGAAATTTACTCGTTGTGATAAATCAATTTCGTCTTTTGAAACAGCCGATTTCACACAGTTAACCGACAACTTTGAAGCGTACTTCAACCGTTCCACAGGAGAATTTCAAAAGCTAAGGCCTTGCGCGCCCCGTTTTAGGTTTGGTTGAATGTCATACGTGACGATTCTTCCCAAATGGGCACGTGGAAAGACTGGAAATCATCTGTTTCCGGAGGAATAAATAACGTAGAATAGAGCACGACAATACGTACTTTTATTTACCAATATGAAGGTTTTTCAAATGACCGTGGCGAAGAAAACTATTGTATTTGTATTTTTATAACTTGTGTGAGCTTATATGATTATACTTCGATTAAAAATGTACATCGATCGCCATGCGTAATAAAAAATACCGTTTCATACAACATACAAAGTGAATGATGTCGCTGAAGTTTCTTTCATGTACGAAAATTCTGACGTAGTTCACTTGCGACCTTTTTCGTTAGGAGCTAGGCCAGGTAGGGTGCAGGGGAATTTTTATAAATTTTAATACGAGAGAGTAGATGCCGATAAGAGGAAAGTGTGGATGAATGGGAACAACAAGACGATAGATCGGGATGCGGTGGATGAAGAGGGCAACTTCAACACCAGAGTTGATGTGACCATTAATGAGTTCTATGAATAACGAATCAATCGGGACTAATGATGCACGACTGACTATCATCAAACTACGTTTAATGGTTTCGAAGTATTGTTTTAAAAGGTCGAGAAACGCTAGAGGTCTGGGATGGATAGTAATGGGGAAAATGCATTGGTGAACGAAAGAGGACAGGACTGACTGTGGTGTTCGGATTTGCCTATGTTTTGTAACTAAAAAGAGAAGCGTCTAAGTTTCCCCATACAATTTTAAATATGTGAAACACCGAAAATTACTGCCGGTGGTGACACCCAGGTACTTGACTGAGGTCATCCCGGATACAGGTTTACGGAGGAAGGTAGCAGAGTCCGTTAGAAATAAAGAGCGAGGAAACAGAAGATGGAAGTGCTATAAGTAAGACCAGATTGTCGAAATAGTCCCACAGAGCACATTCCAGGTAAAACAACAGAGTAGTGAACAAGTTTGTTTACAGGAGATTTGTATTCATGCCAATAAATCTCAAAATAATTCATTACTTAGGGAAACAATATAAAATCAGTTTACTATAAACGATTTCATCATGAGACGGGAAATCAGATTGACCACGTTCGCATATTTGTTTGTCCACTCGTCCGATCACTGAGATTACTCTTGATACGGCATGTACAGGGGTGGGTGGGCCATGGAATCGTTAGCGATTGCACAAATCGCTTTTGGGCACACAGAGGGGATATCCACCGTCTCGTCCGGGATTTGAACTCCGGACCTATTGCATAGAAGGTGTGTGCATTACCACTGTGCCAAACAGCTCATGCCATGGCTGAACCAAATTGTCAATTCATGTCTG